CCTCCCAGCTACTGTTCTCTCTCGCTATCTCTGTCTTTCTCTCTCTCAAATAAATAATTAAAATTATTTGAGAGAGAGAATGAGTGGGGGGAGGGACAGAAGGAGAGGGAGAAGCAGACTCCCTGCTGAGCAGGGAGCCCGATGCTGGGCTCGATCCCAGGACCCTGAGATCATGACCTGAGCCGAAGGCAGACGCTTAACCGACTGCGCCACCCAGGTGCCTTGGGAGAGTTTGAGACTACAGTACAATTCTAGGGAAATCTGGTGAGGCTGATGGGGACTCCTTGAACCAGTCACCCCTCCCAGAAGCAGGCCAGCCCAGCATCCCTGCCATGCTCAGTTGGGGGCTGGGGAGCAGCCTGTGGAAAGACTGGTCTCCATAGGAACCTGATGATGGATTTCTGAGCCCAGCAGCTGGGGTGTTGGTCACATATGAAATAAATAATGAGATCTAAAACATTTCCAAAGCATTGCATCAGCCAGATTGAAAGAGAGGTCAACATTTTTTGAGAGAGCCATTTATAGCTAAGGCATGGTAAGGAGATGGAAACATAATACGTTCGGTTGCTGGAAATTCTTCATTTGTTCATTTGGTCAGAAAGTCATTCCTGTCTTCCAGACTCCAGCTGACATTACGCCTGCACTCAAGGAGTTTACACTTTGGCAGGGAGACAGGTATTAATCATCAACAAATGTACAACTGCAAATAATGATATACACACGTGCATATGCAGACACATTTTTAAGAAAATTGAGGCTGTGCATCAGTCACTTTCTATACATTCTTTTATTGAATTCTTTCAATTGTAGTGGATCTTTATCTCTATAATTAAGAGTTCTGGGCATGATGACAATCATATGCATCTGTAGCTGAGGAAGTTATATAAAATGTCTGTTACACAGCCCATTGGCTTTCTTATGCTGTCTGCCCGTGGGGTGCTGGTACATGGCTAAGTCCCATGAAAGCAACACAGGGGATCAGAATATGACCCCCACCCTGATCCTCGGCTCTACAGCCCCACTGGCCCATGCTGCGCTTGGAACTGAGCCCAGTTCTATACTGGGCTCTCTTTCCCCCCACTGTGATAATCCTGAATAAAACCTTCGTGGAGGGGTCCCCCTCTCCTCTCTCATGCCTGGAGTGACAGGATGACTGAACCACTGTATTCACCAGAGATGACTCTAAACTCTTACCAGACCAAGACACAATGACAGCGATCTGCCTAACAAACTGTACTTAACAAACCTTGTCTTCCACTAGGTTCCCCTCTATATTTACCTTCCCACAGTTTCCCGCCTCTAGGAGCTCAAACTCCTTTACCTTTGTCTATCACATCTCCACAATTCACCGCTCTTTGGTAAACATGGTATATATGCTCTCAAGCCTAGCCACTTCTTTGGGTTTTCATTTATTTTATATCAAGGACTCCATGTACACATAAAATTATTAATATCAAATAAAATTTGTATGCCTTTTCTCCTGTTACTCTGTCTTTTATCAGTTTAATTTCCAGGATCCCAGGTACAGAACCTGAAAGGGTAGAAGAAGTTTTATTTTTCTCCCTTACAGTTTAACAAGGGTAAAAATCAGCATGGAATGAGGAAGGAAAAGGAACAGGCTAGATCTCTGAAAGGGAGTACCATCTATTGACATCAATATCACCTGTGAGAATGCTGTGGTTTGAAGTTTGGGTCCAAGAGCAAATAGTCAAGAAAGAATTCTTGAGACATTTTCAGTGCTGAAAGGTGGTTTTATTAAGCACAGGGACAGGACTCGTGGGCAGAAAAAGCTGCATCATAAATGTGAGGAGTGACCGATTATATAGGGTTTTGTTCATCCTATGGAGGGGAGGGTGATGTTAGGCTTCTAACAAATGGAGTCTATAGGTTCCTGGAGGTCTGACTATTATTAAGATTGTGCTTTTCTTGTAAATCATCAAGACAGTTAAAAACTGATGGAGTTTTATGTCATGCATAAGAACTGCAATCTTTATCAGTTGACCATTTGTTTGTCCTTTCTTTGTTCCTGGGCAGTCACGAGTGCTTGAAGAATGTCACATATATGCGGCCTTTGGGGGAGGGGGGTGTGGACTGTTATTGTGCCTTCTGCCCTCAGCTTGCCTTTTGTTATCTCATCATTGTCATTTGGGGAGTTTTTAAATCTGGTCTGGGACGCCAGGGTGGCTGAGTCGGTTAAGCGTCTGCCTTCGGCTCAGGTCATGATCCCAGGGTCCTGGGATCGAGTCCCACATCGGGCTCCTTGCTCAGCAGGTCGCCTGCTTCTCCCTCTGCCCGCCGCTCCCTCTGCTTGTGCTCTCTCTCACACACACAAAAATAAATAAAATAGTAAAATAAATAAATAAATAAATAAATAAATAAATAAATAAATAAATAAATCTGGTCTGCTAGAATAAACAAGTTCGATAATCTCTGAGCATTCATGTTCTAGCATAGAAGTATGATGGTCAGGCCCAGGCATACGGGTAGCTGGGTTTAAAGATGGAAGGTTTTAAGCATTATTTCAGGTGTATCTAAATGCATAGCATGGTATTTAGTAAGTCAGCGGTGACCTTAGGTCTCTAGAACACTTTGGACCCGAGGTGGAGTCATCAGTCATCATCAGCAAGGACTGTCCCATAGTAAGTTGTGAAGTTCCTCCTGCCAGGAGGCTGTGGTGGTCACTGCTCAAAGACAAGCTGGCCACCCCTATGTTACATTCACAAGTGACTTTGAAAAATCGCCCACCAGTCCTGCTTCATTTCCTCATTTTTGTGTCAGAATTCCCAAAGTGTGTCCCTGTTTTTCTGCCACATATAAAATGAAAGTTTTTTCTAAATTTGGCAAAGCTAAAGCTGGGGCTGACAAAAAGTTAGCTTTTAATGTTTGAAAGACCATCTGTTGGGCTTTACTCCAGAGTAAAGGTTCTTCCTCAGAGCCTTTAAATGAATCATACAATGGTTGATCTAAGAGTCCAAATCTAGGAATCCACAGGTGGCAAAAACCTGCCGTACCTAGGAAAGTACAGAGTTGTTTTCTTGTAGCTGGGGCTCCAAGAACTAATATAGCCCTCTTTCTGTCAGTAGGCAGGGTATGGTGTCCTGGTGCTAATTCATATCCCAAATATTGTACCTTTTGTTTAGATATTTGTACTTTTTTTTTTTTAAAGATTTTATTTATTTATTTGACAGAGAGAGAGAGAGAGACAGCAAGAGAGGGAATATAAGCAGGGGGAATGGGAGAGGGAGAAGCAGGCTCTTCGCTAAGCAGGGAGCCCGACGCGGGCCTCGATCCCAGGACCCTGGGATCATGACCTGAGCTGAAGGCAGACGCTTAACGACTGAGCCGCCCAGGCGCCCCTAGATATTTGTACTTTTTTTAAGAGAGATGTGATGCCCTCTGTCTGCCAAGAAATTAAGTAAAGTTATAGAATTACTACCAAACGTTTCTTTTGTGGGACCACAGATTAAAATATCATCCACATATTGAATTATAGTTCCTTGAGGCCAGGAGATATCATAGAGGTGTTTACTAAATGCAGCCGTGAATGGGTGAGGCCTGTCTCTAAATCCCCGGCAGCAAGACTGTCCAGGTTCATTAAGCTGCCTGTGGGCTTGAAGGTGAGGCCCATTCAAAAGCAAATAGGGGCTGTGTTTCCTCACCCAGGTCATCACAATCCCGACCTGTGGATTTACTTCCTTCCAGATATTACAAAGGGTACCAGGGTAAAAGTTTTAATTCCCCAGGCATTAAAGAGAACAGCTTGTCCTCTTCCTTAGGAAGAGCAAAACTGCTTGCTAGTTTATACATTAAATCTCATCTAAGTAATGGAGTGGGACAAGATGGAAGGACTAGAAAAACATAAGTAACCAACTGGCTTCCGTACTTACAGGTGAGAGGTATTGTCTGGTGACACGTTTTGGTTTCCTCTTCTATGCCAACAATTTTATGGTTAGAAAGACTAGTAGGGCCTGAGTGCTGAATAAGAATAGAGCAAGTGGCTCTTGTTTCACTAAGGAAATTGATAAGCTTACCTCCCATGTCTGGGTAACCTGGGACTCAGTGCTGATATCAGAGGAGCCGACCAGCCTCAGGGTCCCGTTATGCCAGATCTACCGGTTCCTGCTCGCAGGCAGGGAAGGGAAGGCCCATCCTGGCCAGGGTGCTAACTTCCAGTCAAAAGGCAAGCTTTTGGTCCTCCCCATGGTGTAGCCGTGGCTAGAGGATTGCAGCCTGAGCAATCGACATGAAAGTGTTCCAGTAAGACCACACTCCTTGAGAAGCCCCTGAAATGAAAGTAAAGGAAGAGAAGAGGAAGTACTCATCAAGTTTGCACTAAGGCTCAGAGTCTAGATGAGAAGACGTGAGCCCCACGGTGGGCGCCAAAATGATGTAATTTGAAGTTTGGGTCTGAGAGCGAATGGTCAAGAAAGATTCTTGAGACATTTTCAGTGCAAAAAGGTGGTTTTATTAAAGCACGGGACAGGGCCCGGGAGCTGCTGCTGCTGCGGCGGCTGCTTCCGCGGCGCCAAGGCCGAGGCGGAGGCCGGGGTGCGAGCTCGGCTGACGTGCCGGATCCGCGCGGCTCGGCTGCATTGGCCCCTGCGGCTGCCTGAGTGTCTCGGCTGGTCTGTGCACGGCCTCGGCGAGGATGCGGCTTTTCCGGTGGCTGCTGAAGCAGCCGGTGCCTAAGCAGATCGAACGCTACTCGCGTTTGTCGCCATCGCCACTCTCCATCAAGCAGTTCCTAGACTTCGGGAGAGCTAATGCATGTGAGAAAACTTCATATATGTTTCTACAAAAGGAGCTTCCTGTAAGACTGGCCAACACAATGAGAGAAGTTAATCTTCTGCCGGATAACTTGCTTAACCGCCCTTCGGTGGGGTTGGTTCAGAGTTGGTATATGCAGAGCTTTCTTGAACTTTTAGAATATGAGAATAAGAGCCCTGAAGATCCACAGGTCTTGGTTAACTTTCTGCAAGTTCTCATGAAAGTCAGAAATAGACACAACGATGTGGTTCCTACAATGGCACAAGGAGTGATTGAATACAAGGAGAAATTTGGGTTTGATCCATTCGTTAGCAGTAACATCCAGTATTTTCTGGATCGGTTCTATACCAACCGCATCTCTTTCCACATGCTTATTAACCAGCACACACTTCTGTTTGGTGGTGACACCAACCCTGCTCATCCTAACACATTGGAAGTATTGATCCCACCTGCAATGTGGCTGATGTCATGCAAGATGCCTATGAAACCGCCAAGATGCTGTGTGAACAGTATTACCTGGTAGCTCCAGAGCTGGAAGTCGAAGAATTCAATGCCAAAGCTCCAGACAAACCTATTCAGGTAGTTTATGTGCCCTCACACCTGTTTCACATGCTATTTGAGTTGTTCAAGAACTCAATGAGAGCGACAGTTGAACTATATGAAGACAGAAAAGAAGCCTACCCGTCTGTTAAAACCCTTGTTACTCTGGGTAAAGAAGACTTGTCCATTAAGGTAAGTGACCTAGGTGGTGGTGTCCCACTTCGAAAAATAGACCGTCTTTTTAACTACATGTATTCAACTGCTCCTAGACCTAGCCTGGAGCCTACAAGAGCCGCCCCTCTGGCTGGATTTGGTTATGGCTTGCCAATTTCTCGTCTGTATGCTAGATATTTCCAAGGAGATCTAAAACTCTATTCCATGGAAGGAGTCGGTACTGATGCTGTCATTTATTTAAAGGCACTTTCAGGTGAATCATTTGAGAGACTTCCGGTTTTTAATAAGTCTGTGTGGCGTCATTACAAGACCACACCCAAAGCTGATGACTGGAGCAATCCCAGCAGAGAACCTAGGGATGCCTCAAAATACAAGGCGGAACAGGACAAGGTCAAGACTAATAGAACTTTCTAGAACACTGAATGCTCATGTCCTCTCTGAGAAGAAAGATTGTCTTCCACAAGTCAACTGGAGAGAACTCCTTTCCTCCACCAACTCTGAGCAAGGCACCATAGTACTCCAGTGCTTGAATGTGTAATTTCTCTATATGAGCTGGACCTTCTCCACAAAAACCTTCCTATAGCTGCTCCAGATCTTCACTAAAGTAGTAACCCGAGCAGTTTTTCCTAGTATGTTGCTGTGGTTTGGTTGGCGCCTGTCGTAAAACGGCACAGAGCCTCGTTAGTGCTCTGGTGCCCTCATACCTCCCTCCTCCTTGTCATAGAGTCGAGTGTCTACATTCTCCCCAGGAGTCTAAGCTCCTTCCTCATTCCAGATACAGCCAGTTTCTGCGGTTGCTCTTTGTGACCAAACACCATGGTTTTCCAAACCACTGACTAAGGCGTGGGTGATCTGGAAGTTGAAGACACCAGCAGAGTGTGTCTTGAATAATTCAGTCCCAGGGCCCTTCCTCTCTCATATGCATCCTTCCTCACTCTGTGATTTCAACTTTTGCCTTCTTCCATCTGATCGGAGTGAGGTGCGGCAAGTTTCACGTTAGCTCTTACTCTCTGATGCATTGATTTTATTTTAAAATTCATTTGTGTACTCCCATTCTGTCAATTAAAGCATTCCAAAAGTTAAAAAAAAAAAAAAAAAAGCACGGGACAGGACCTGTAGGCAGAAAAAGCTGCATTGTAAGTGTGAGGAGTGACTGATTATATAGGCTATTTTTTTAATCCTATGGAGGGTAGGGTGACATTAGGCCTCCAGGAAATTGAGTCTATAGGTTCCTGGAGGTCTGGCTCTTATTAAGATTGTGTTTTTATTGTAAATCATTAAGACAGTTATAACAGATGGAGTTTTATGTCGTGCATGACTGAAATCTTTATCAGTTGACCATTTGTATTTCCTTTTTTTGTTCTTGGGCAGTCATGAGTGCCCGAAGAAGGTCACACATATCTCACCTTTGGGGGTGTGGTTTGTCAAGTGTCAGTGTGCCTTTTGCCCTCAGCTTGCCTTTTATTATCTCATCAAGGAGAGAATGGTTTTCCTGTGTAGAGATAGAATGGTTATTTGCAAACTGGATTCTTTCTTTTCTTTTCTTTTTTATTTGAGAGAGAGAGAATGAGAGACAGAGAGCATGAGAGGGAGGAAGGTCAGAGGGAGAAGCAGACTCCCTGCCGAGCAGGGAGCCCGATGCGGGACTCGATCCCAGGACTCCAGGATCATGACCTGAGCCGAAGGCAGTCGCTCAACCAACTGAGCCACCCAGGCGCCCCAAACTGGATTCTTTCTTAAAAGTAATGTGGGAATATGAATGTGGGAATTACAATCCTAAAGCATATACTCTTGGCATTTGAACTTTTTAAAAGTTTTGTTCTGTTTTGTTTTGTTTTGTTTATTTGACAGAGCATACAAGCAGGGGGAGCAGCAGGGAGAGGGAGAAGCAGGCTCCCACTGAGCAGAGAGCCCGACATGGGGCTCGATCTCAGGACCTTGGGATCATGACCCGAACTGAAGTCAGACACTTAACCGACAGAGCCACCCAGGTGCCCCTTGGCATTTTAATTTATGACCCACATGGTGAAATGGGTCTGCCACGAAATGTACATCCCCAGCATCTGTCCGTTTCTATTTAATAAGGTGATGGCTCTTCCTAGGGTCATCATGGATGACATATTGTATAATTTTGTTTATCTGCCTGGGCCCCCCTATTTGTGTCCTGCAGGTAGGGCCCTGCCTTCTTCAGGTCTCAGTGACTTCCACATATTGTTTGTCCAGTGAGCACCACCACTGACTACCACTGCTCAATCACCACACAGCAAGAGGGCCCCCCATGACTTTATTAGGACAAGAGATGCTCTCATCTAAGCCCCTCTGTTCCAGGCCTTGTTTTTGGAGGGAAGCACTCACTACAGTTTGTGAGGGAAGGTTCTATACAAACAGGCCTTCTGGCTTTCTGACCACAGCTGTGAAGTCAGCTCCCAAATGCGATTCCCAGCTGCTCCTCTGACTTGACCACAGGCCACATGGCAACTGGCAAACCCAGTAGGGAGCCAAGCCACTCTCCGCTGCTCATCTGTGAATCTTATTCTTCTAGTATTACAGGAACATCTGCAAGGTTCATTTTACCCCACAGAGTAAGGAAAAGAAAAATGCCACATACTGGCTTGCTTGTTAGGAATGAAAGACTTTCCATTGAGCTGGGCCATTTGTCTCTGAATAGCAATGTAAATGAAATCATTCTGCAGCTGGGGCTCCCACAGCCAGATGCCCAGGCTCAGAGACCAGGCTGTCTGGACCTGTCCCATCTTGGCTTATAAGAGGGTTTAAGGTCAAGCATGCTGGGCAGCTGTTGGCTCTTCTAAGACCCCTAAACACAAAAAGATAGGATTAAAGAAAAGCAAGAGAGATGTGGAATTTGAAGAACTCCGAGACTGAAAACATTGTAAAACCCTGAAATAGGTAACAAGCTTATGAAGATCATGTCCCTTTGCATCTTCAAGAATAAAGGACCCGCTCTGTTATCCATCGAGAGGCAACACCAGTCCACTCAAAATTCATTGCTCCACCACAGCCTTCTTCTTTTGTTCTCCTCTAGGAGGTTTTCATTTGGGGTTTCTGAATTTTATTATACATGCCCATCCCTGCAGAAAATCATGACAACCACAACAAACCAGGTTTGAGATGTCCAGAGACAGAAACTGGTTGGTGGGAAATTAGCACAGTCATCAGATGGGTAAAATTCTAAGTGGAGGATTTGGTTCTCACTGATGCATAGGCCAAAGGGAAGGTTCTGTCCTGGTATATGCTGCATCGTGCATCATATACATTTATAAATGCACCTGAATTGTGTCCCACAAAAAGATAGGTTGAAGTCCTAACCCCCTGTACCTGTGAATGTGACCTTATTTAGAAGTGGGGTCTTTGCAGATATAATTGAGATGTCAGTTAGGATAAAGTCACACTTACATACTTTCTCATATTGAAGTCGGGCAGCCCCTAACCCAATGACTGATGGCCCTTTAAAAAGAAGGAAGCAGGGTCACAGACACACCTAGAGGAGGCCATGTGATGGGAGGCTGAAATTAGAATAGGGCAGCCACAAGCCAAGGAATGCCATGGCTGATGGCGGTATCAGAAGCTAAGAAGAGGTGAAGAAAGGATCCTACCTAGGGTATCAGACAAAGCATGGCCTTGCCAACACCTTGATTTTGAATTTCGAGCCATCATAACTGTGAGAAGGTACATTTCTGTTGTTTCAAGCTAGCTGGGTCACAGCGCTTTGCTACACTAGCCCTAACCAACTAATACGGCACCTTACTTTTTCTTTTCCTATTTTCATAAGAAATCACATGAAATAGAACTGTGTTCCAAGGGCACAGACCTAAGGCAGTACTAGCAACAGTGAGTGTATGGAATTACATATTCTTGGGATGTAGTTTTTGGATATGGGTGATGTTTGGTGGGGTCCGAAGCCAACAGCCAAGAAAGAATTTTTGAGACATCTTTGGTGCAAAATGGTGGTTTTATTAAAGCCTGAGGACAGGACCCATGGGCAGAAAGAGCTGCTGCCCCAGGACTGTGAGGGGCAAGTGATTATATACTTTGGGGGGGGAGCAAAGATAAGGGAAGTTCCAAAAGGATTTTCAGATGCTGAAGAAGACTCACAAGGATCCTAGAGGCCTGGCTATTGTCAAGCTAAGGTAGTTTTTCCCTCTGGCAAGACATTAACATGAAGACAGCTAAGGACATTTAATTTTATCTACATTTCCTTCTGCCTTTGTTTCCCACATCATGTCCCCCTGAACAATTCTGACCCTTAAATCTTCAAGGTTGTTGAGGGTGGAAGGTCTTATCTTCGGTAACTTCTTCCTGCTGGAGAGGGGTGTAGAGATGTCCTTACTTACGGGTCAACATTGGTCAGTTGGGGGGTTTATCTGTAGGCATTACCAATGGCAACGGCAGCCAATCCAAGGTCGACAACATAGATGAACCTCCTTAAGTAGAAAGGATCGTCTGTCAGCGGGAAGTTGCGACAGTGAAGGAGTCTTGGCACCAGGGAGGGAGACACCGGAAAAGACAACAAAAGAAGGTTACTATTATAAAGAGAAAGAGAAGCCTAAATAAAAAGACCTTTGATAATTAGTTAAACCAGTCCTTTATTGTTGTTGGAAGAGAAATTTGAGGTCTTCCACAGGTTCAAAGGAATAAGAAGGCACGTTAGTTTGCTCATTGGTTTCCTGTGAAGGAGATCCAGGTTTTATTCTACATATATGAGCCCATGAAGAGTGCCCCTCTAATTTTACTGCAGTGGGTGGATATAATACGACCTGGTAGGGGCCCTTCCATTTTGGAGTTAAATCACCTGCTGTGTTAGACTTCCAATCCTTTCAATAAAATGGTTTATAGGGGGTGGATTGCTAGTGACAGTCAGATCAGGTTTAGGGAGGATATGGTTTGCATATTCATTTAGAGATTTATGAATTAACCTGGCCTCAAGTGAATAATTTAACAGAGCATTATAGTCTCCATCTCTTGATAGGTCTACAGTGAAAAAAGGTTCCATATAGTAATTCAAAAGGACTTAACACTATTGGTTGTTTTGGGGCAATTCCCCTTCTAAGAAGCCCTACTGGTAAAAGAGTAATCCAGTTTTCTTGAGTCTCAATGCTTAAAATCTAGTATCTACAAAGATGTGTTACTGAAACATTTTCTCTCTATAATAACCCCCATTTTTAATCAGAGATAGCCAAATCAGGACTAATTTATTTGTATAACAAGTCCACTTTTTTTTTTTTAAAGATTTTATTTATTTATCTGAGACAGAGAGAATGAGAGAGACAGAGAGCACATGAGAGGGGGGAGGGTCAGAGGGAGAAGTAGGCTCCCTGCGGAGCAAGGAGCCCGATGCGGGACTCGATCCAGGGACTCCAGGATCATGACCTGAGCCGAAGGCAGTCGCTTAACCAACTGAGCCACCCAGGCGCCCACAAGTCCACTTTTAACAAACTTGGCCTAATGATTTACATAAGCTCAGCAAGAATAGGGAGAGATCATATAGATCTTTTAGGATTTGCTTTGCTGGAATGTTTTTATAAGGAATCTCTAGGTTGAACTTTTAGTAGCCTCTCCAGAGCCCCTGGAGGGAGTGTGGCCCTGGGACAACTTCATTTATTCCCAGAGACAGCCTTTGTTCTCCATTGTCTGTGTCTTTTGTGTTGTTTGTCATAAAAAGGAATTATCGTAAGGCGGCACTCCGGCCTAGGCCCTGTAAGCCTGCTGTTGGAGCACTTCTGCTGAGTTCACAGTTCCTATCAGATCAGCGTCTATTTAGACAAACTTTGCTGTGGGTCCCCTGTGTCAAAACAGGATGCGGTTTTTCCTCTTGTCTTGTTCTATGTCCTAAGAGTGTGGCTTT